ACTTTGCAGAGACTCTTAGGAAATATCCACCAGTAATGTTTCTAATGAGGCAACCTATAAAAAATTATACTTTCGAGGGGACTAAGATTACTCTACGAAAAGGGCAAGATGTGATTATACCCATTTATGCTATTCAAAATGATCCGAATATTTATCCAGATCCAGAAGTTTTTGATCCTGAACGATTTAGTGCGGAAAATATAAAACAGAGAAATTCTATGTATTATCTGCCTTTCGGAGATGGTCCAAGAAACTGTATTGGTAATTTTAAAAACTTACAGATATTGTGTTACAACAATATCACAATGTTTGCGCAATTAATTTTTTTTTACGTTTAACGTTCTGCATACACTCATACATACATATTCATGCATACACAGATAGGACATATAGACATACTTGACTGGAGAAATATCGAAACGTGATATTATTTTTTAGGTTCAAGATTTGCCATTAATCAGACCAAGATTGGTTTAATTAAAGTGCTGATGAATTATAAAATAGATGTTTGCGAAATGACTCAGATTCCACTTATTCATGCTCCGTGGTCCAATTTCATGTTCCAAACAACTCATGGTATATATGTAAAATTAATCAAACTCGTCTAACACATAATTTGTAAGTATTGTATGCTACATATATATCTGTACACTTACAAGTTAATCAAACAATCCAAAATAACATTATGTCAGTATTCCATTGTAACGCTTATATAATATTCGCAGTACATGTTCACGTTGCACATTAATGTAGGTTAACTTTAATCGCGGTACAATTTACTTTCATCTTTTTCTAATTTTTAGCACTAGAAAAAGATGAAAAATAAGTTGAACCGAGATTAAAGTTAACCTATATTGATAGAAACGGACATAAATTAATGAGATAACATTTATTGAGATAGAAGAAAAATTAAATGTATAACATTTTTTGAAATGTTTGAATAATTAAATTGTAAGTATTTATAGATAAGACATCAATGACGCCAATTGCAACACATCCAGATGATTAAAAAAATTCGATTTCCTTTTTACTATGAGTATTTAATCATTAATACGGATATTTTATTGTGTAATATTATTCTCATAATTCCATATTAATTTTATACATTAATTATGATTGCAAAAGTAAAATAGCCAATGTATTAATTTGATATATATGTAATATTACGCAATTATGTTAAGAATCATTACATTCTAATAAATATCGATATGGATAATATTAACACTAACATGATGAGAATTATTATATAGACATCGCATGGTATTAATATTAATTGACTAATCTTCGTTGAACTTATATTTGTTTCTTATTACAACCACCAAATATGAAATGAAATTGTATTAGATAAATAATGAGCAACTCAGAGCATAACGCTACATAATATTAATAATAATGCTAAGAAGAATCATATTATTATTGACAGTTCAATAATAATCCAATTTAAATACGTTGACATGCATTTCAATAATATTCCTCATGTTATGCATCATAAATAATATCATGTTCGCAGTAATGCTTATTTTGAAATAATACTATACATATGATGCTACAAACAGGTTGCGTTTCATTACGCACTGCGAATATACTGAAAATCTATAGTTCACGTTACGTATAACTATAGATTTTCAATACTTGCAGTGATTAAGAATTATAGATGGCGCAGTTTTGACACACTTGAAGTATGCAAATTGTTGCATATGTATACGTATAAACGTATATAAAAATTATAATATTAACCCTCCAGTACCATTTTGTGCCTTTTAAGGCACAATCGAAATCATGTTTTCTCAAAATTCTTATTAAGATTTCATCAATAAAAAATAAATAAAATACAGTCTAGTTTTTATTATAGTAAAAATTTATTATTAAAGGTTCCACAAATGTGCAAGAATCTTTTCAGATTTTTATGTCCGGAACCATAAAAAATACATGCTGTTTCCCTCAATGGCCTAGAGTGTAAATTATGATTGAAAATTTTGGGGTGGTGCTGGAGGGTTAACCCTCATCTTTAGTCTGATGTAACTTTAAAGTTATATATTAATATATCGAGATATTGTTGATTTAAGTTGAATGAAAGGGAATAATTGACCATGATTGATCGACAATTCTTACAGATTATGGTATAAATTAACAGATTACTGCTAGTATAATATAGTAAATGATTCTTTAATGCTTTTGCAAAAAAATATTATTGAAACTACTGAATCCATTGTCAATCTGTATTTAGAGTCAATCTGTATTTATATTTTTGTTGTGATTCTATGTTACATAAATTTTTTTATGACCACAAAAAAAAAATTCGAATCATAGAGAATTAATAAAAATGTATGTAAAATCAATAGTATTATAAAATATATTTGGATTCTTAAATTTAACCTATCTTTGAATTTGAAAAGTTAATTATGCATAAAATATTTTCTTCTTAATTAGTCGCATTTAGCTGCTTTTTCATATAATATTTATATTGTTATTACTGCTTACTTTTTAACTGTATGGTAAATTAATTTTACAAAAAAAGTCTTAAATAATTATAAAGTGAATTGCGACAGTAAAATGTTGTAAACATTGAGTATTGAAACATTAGGTACACACAGTTTCTGCTATTACATTACACAAACTAAACCCGGATTACAATTTTTGAAATGAGGATTGCGCTCTCGCAAACAAACGGAAAAGTAGAACAAGTTCCTGGAACGTAGTTTCCTAATATAAAAGCACATCAATTTTTGCTTATTACAAAAATATTTATGTAAATGTATATATGTGTGTGCGCGCGTGTGTATGCACACTGATTATTATATATGATTATACAGGGTGTTTCCAAATTAAATGGCAAAACTTCGGGAGCGTGTAGAGGAGTAAAAAACTAAGAAAAAAAGTCCTATAGACATATGCTCCTTTTTGCTTTGTTTCGCAGGAAATCACGAAAAAAGAAAAAAATATATTTAATTTATTATTTTAATTATTTTATTTATAAACTTTTTAATGAAGATT